TATATATATATAGGTTTTTTTTTCTTTTTTACTTAGTCTTAAGAGAAGCAAAGCACCTCTCAAATGATTCAGAAACACGGAAAGCGTGTTGAACTTTTCTTGATTGAAAGGAGATTCCTTTCTCTCAATATAATTAACCTGTCAAAATTAATGCTTTACTACGCTTTTATTAAGCAGCACTCTTTGCGTGGGCATGGCATGTGTTGCCTCAATGAAATTGTATATATGTTGCACTTCATTACTTTTTTCCCTTAACCAAAAAGGAAGAAAATTATTTAAAAGAGTTTGGTTGCTTATGTTTGGAGATTGAAGTAATAAGATTGAATTCCTTTGTGTTGGGCAAATGGAGGTGGCCGCCCGTCGCTTTGTGGTGACGCCCGCTTCGCTCCGTCAACTACCCTTCGGGTGACCCGTGAGATCATTAAGATGAGCCGGCTTTGTAGCCAGGAACAATCGAATCTCATTTCTTGCATGTATTCACACGGCATGTGTGGCATGATTTCTAAAATATGCATAAAACTATTGATTTTTGCATGTTATTCAGTTGATTCGCCCGATCAACCCCCACACCGACCCAATTGGTGTGGCTAGCAATCTTTTATCCACTTGTCTAATTAGCCGCACTAGCCCAATCAGATTGATCAACATGTTCCTTCAGCTAGCCTAATCAGCCCCACTAGCTCGATCGACGCGACCGACAATCTTTTATTGACTCACCTGATCGGTCGCACGGTCCTGATCAGATTGATCAATTTGTTCTGTCGGTTCGCCTGATCTGCCTCACCGGTTCGATTGGTGTGACCGACAATCTTTTGTGGACTAGTCTGATCGGCTGCACTTGATCAATCGAATAGATCAATATCTTTCGTCTGCTCTTCCGCTCGGCCCCACCGGCCCAATCAATTTGACTGACCATTTCTATTGAATGTTTCAAATCACATGTTTGGTTCACGTTGTCTGCATTAGTACATTCACACTTTCACCCTGTCGTACATTTATGACCATATCCTCTCATATGCTTCTAACGAGCGTTCGTGCCTCTCATAAGTATATCACTCGACCAACTTGATTTGTGGCATCTTCGCGTCACCGTGCCTAATGTCACGAGCTTCCACACTCACACTAATATCCCCTCACCTGTTTGCTTTGCATGCATCTTACATGACCATGACGTACATGTGGTTTGCTTGTCACTGTCACACACACTCATTCAACATCCACATGCCCTATTCAGAGGTGGCTTGCAGACCAAGTTTACCTGATGTGTAATTCTCCCCAGTGAGAATTACTTTACCTTCACTTCTTAAGACACCGCATCAGACTGTCGTATGTTTCCCTCCGAGTCAATGCCTACATGACACACTCACCCTCCGGGTCACTGCCTCCACGACACACCCACTTTTTTTGGGTCACTATCTCCATTACACACCCATCTCTCCGGGTCACTGCCTCCCTGACACACCCACCCTCTAAGTTACTGTCTCCTCGGCACACTAACCCCCACTTGTGTTGTATATTTTGCATGCACCACTATGCACTGTCGGTGCATTCATCATTGATATATGTCATCGTATACTAGTGACGAATGTTTGTTATCTTGCGACATCACCCTACACTATCACATTACACTGGGTCATGTTGCATTTGCATGTGCATTCTCCAATTGTCTCTACGACAAACGCGACGACTAGTATTGCCCGTGAGGATGTCTTAGTGGGCAATACTAGCTATCGCACTGTGGACCAGCACGCGTATGTTGTGCTAAGCTTTCAATGAATCTAATAAGTGTCACTTAGGCTCTTTATTTTTTAGGAACTATTTTAAAAGTATAAAAATTTACAATTTTTTATTACTTTATGCATCATAGTTTCAAATCTTATTTGAATTTTCTTGTATTCGTACCTTAGACCATATGTAAGGTCAACCTTTTAAGAGTTTCGATAAAACTTATATCTAGTGGACTCTCTTAGAATCCTTGGATCCTTAGAACCGACCCAAAGACGGTGACCCCATCAAAATATATGTTAGCCTTTTAACATAACCCTGCACTCACTTAGATGCTATGTTAGGACACTATGTTAGATGGTGTGCTAGGCCAATGACTAAGATGTTAGGTAGTCCTTTTCAATGTCATGGTTATAGGTCTCTGATGGTTTGGTTGCCTTAGTTAGGCAACAATTTTTATGTTTTTGGTGTGCTTGCATGCTTATCGATTTTGAAATGCGTGCAATGGTTCCACTAAGCTCTTTTTATGTTTTTGAAATTTTTAACTGCAACTCTTTAATATCAGGTCGATCTTTTTCAGGGACTCATGCCTAATACATGTGTAAGAGGGAGAAGCAAGTAACTCTTTTCTATAGGTTCCACTAAGCTCCTCCAACCATACGTGACTCATATGTGTTGCATGTCAGTAGTTTTTTTCCGCTAACCTTCTTTTAATGCATGACGAGTCTTTTTTTTTATACTTTTTGTATGTAGTTTTTAGAGTCCTAGAAGAGTTTTGTATTATAAATAAGGTACGGGTACTGATTCCGAGACACCAAGAATTCGGAACCACGTGACGGGAACCGGGAGCTACTTGCTCGTATCTCGTACCTTACTTCTAAATTTTATTAATGTATAGAATTAGGACCTTCTAAATTTCATTGATGTATAGAATTAGGACAATGTATGTACTTATGTGGTGTCTGATTGTCTTTTACTGTTTATGGAATATGTTGCCGATCCAATGACACCCAACATTTTATTAGTTTTTTTATTTGTCTTGCTTTCCATGTCTTTCTTGCATGCTTGTGTGCTTGAAATTGGTTTCACCCTTTTTACCTAGTGCTTTTGTTTGAAAATCGTATGAATCACTTAGGCTCTCCAAGGACCTAAATTTCTAAACTTTCTACAAAAATTTTAACTATGCCCTGTACATGCAATACACCATCTATGTAAATTATTCTATAAGGATGTAGGTAAGAAGCTACTCTCATTTGATAATACTCTATCATGCATTCCTCTATTCTATCTTCTCAATTTATAAAACACGTCTCTTAACGAGCCAAACAGAAACTGTTCGTGAACAACGAGTCATTTTGACTGCCCAACTTGTACCAAAGAACCTAAGAACATCCCTCTTTGCTCCCCACTGGACAAATTCCTCCCTCTCTGGGCCGCCGAATACTAGATTAAAATTTTAGTTGTTTCAAATATTTGAATGAATAAACTCTATTAAAATAATGCTACCAAACTTATACCTGCGGGCTAAGTTTGCAGTTCTAAACTTCAGCTCTAAATCTGGACCTATCAAATCGACCCTGATGCGATCAATCCGTCGAGCATGTGCCTCGCACTTCATTTAAACATAAACAAACAAGCGCGTTCGACCGGCACAATCAAAATTGGCATTTTTTTGTCAGAAAAGAAATATAAACGATTTGACTTCGTAAAACAGATACAACACGACAACTCAAAAACACAAATAAAAAACAGAGACTGATCAGATCAGCTACAGATGGGGCAGAACATCAGACCATTCTCATTACACCCCCCCCCCCCCCTCCCCCCCCCCCCCCCCCCCCCCCCCCCCCCCCCCCCCCCCCTCCCCCCCCCCCACCCGCCGGCAACACCAGCTTCCGGCTTCCGCTGCACCTAAAACATGGCAGAAACCTCACCCCACCGCATCCATCGCATGCCCCGCCATGCCTGACCTTCGGCAACCCTTCGACCAGAACTCCGAGGCCACCCTCCTCATGAATCCGCAGCACTTGCTCCGCCCCACCTATGTACCTCCCTCGCACAAACACCTTCGGCAAATCAACCTTACCGGCCATCAGCCCACGAAGCTCTTCTCGAAATCCGAGATCCATTGACACATCGCGTTCCAGAATCCAAACACCGAGACTCTCGAGCGCCGCCCGAACTGCGTTGCAATCCTCGAAGGTCTTGCGGATGCCGCCGAGTGTCGTGGTGTAGAGAACCACGGCCTGCTCGCCTCCCGGAGGGCAGAGCCTCTCGAATGATTCGAGCGAGCGGCAGCGCGGTTGGATGGTGGTGTTGGAAGGGCGGAGAACGTTGGTTTTCTTGGTGGGATCGGGGAAGTGAAGGGAACGGTGGGCGTTCTCTTTGCCTGGGTTGAGGGGTGTGGTGGGTTTTAAGGGTTTCAGAGGGGTGAGGGGATCGAGACCGGCCATTAGTTCCCATGAGTTGATGATTTCAGGTTCGGGGCGGCGAGGAGGAGCAGGGGAGATGGAGCGAGGTGGTGGCGGAGGAGGAGGAGGAGGGGAAGGGGGAGGGGTTTGGTGAGGAGTTGCAGGGTCGAGGGTGGAGAGGAGGCCGTATGTGGTGGAGGTGAGGGAGACGATGTGATGGCCGAAGGTGGGGGTAATGTTGCCGGCGTCGTCTTCGAGAAAGGAAGAGGAGACGCAGCCCATGGGAGAGAGGTTGAGGAGATGAGGAGAGGGTAAAGGGAGCTTCTTGTGGGGGGGGAAGGGGGGAAGATCAGGGAGGGGGAAGGATTTCAAAAAATTCGAACTTTGGGACCGGCTGCGGCACATTTGTGGTGCTCTGCGCTTGAATTGGGGGTTTGAGTGCGCGTGGTGTTGTCGCGGAGCGGAAAGGAGAATTTTTTTAGTGAAATAAAAAAACTATTTCTGTTAGTACATGATATGGTTTCGATTTACGACGAAGATTTTACTTTATTGAAGATTTGGTTTTGTTATTGCATCGTGGGGTTGGTTGAATTGATGTGTATTGTTTATTGGTGGACTTAGGATGTCTAATTATTGTCTGCGAAGATCGTACACATATGACAGTGAGTTTCACTATCATACACCAGGGATGCGCCACTGTGATCAGAGAGGGCATGCATAGCTATTCTCCACACGCAATAATCGCTCATTTAGGACAGGGTTGGTGGTCGGAAACTTATTTTAGGGGAGTTACGGAAGTATAAATTTGAAGAGGGCTTTAGTGTTTGCTTGCTAATTTGGATGAGGAAGTTGTTTGCTTTTGGACTCAAGATTATATAAGGCTGAATTTTGTTGGCATAAACATTCTATTGTTTCATTTTGTGGCTTGAAGATTGAAATTTTGATTTACCATGCCCAAAGAAAAGGTTAGAGATAAAAAAATTGAATGATGGAATTGAGAAATGTTTCGAAAGGGCGGTGTTTGGCTGCACGATATATTCACGTTAAATAAGATTTATCAAATCTAATAAATCTGAATTTATCACATTTTAGTATAAGATGGGAAGGGATTGCGAGTGACAGTGAATAAATACAGCTTGTAATAAGACTTATGAAATATGAATTTATGTCATATAAATAGTGGAGCGTGAGAAGAATCACTTAGAACATGAGAAAATTGGATTTTGACGGAGCACTGGATTTGTTATTATTATTTTGTGTTTGGATGGGTTTAAGCTAAGCTTGTGATTAAATTCTATAAATAATACGCTACAGAACACCGCCTGAAAATCTGAGCCTAATGCAACATCTCGGGAGTGATCTCTTTTTTTGTAATGATCATCCATATTAATAAGTAGGTCAGTTCATACATTACAGCATTATAAAAAAAATTATGATACTCATTGATCCCATGAGATTTTTTTTTATTTGTATTGCCATTTTTTAGCGTGGGCATTAAAATACTCCTATGATAATATATTGCCCTAATTTTCAATTCTTCGAAGAATGCTTCTCTTTTGGCCGCACTTCCATCAGATTGTCCTTGGTAATGCCTCTGTCAACTTGATTGAGGTTATAGTGATCCAACGAGATCATTCAATTGACTCTAGCGAGCATGACGTCGAATTCACCAAACTTACCCAGCTAGGTGTGATTCTCAAAAAAGTTGTCTTAATTGCCATAATCACTTTTTATTATTGTCTTCAAAAGTGATGTGAGCTTGAGAATTCTTGACATCAAATGATTATTTAGCATCTTAGAGCTACATGAAAATCCAACACATATTTAGGTAATTAAAGTGACAAGTAAATACGTCAAAAGTTCTAGGTAATCCATGTAACGAGTAACAAAAATATTGTGAAAGTTCTAACAATTTCTCCTATCATTTTTTATTAACTATAAATTAGTTCTATAATATATACATTAATAGAGACTCGACTTTAAAGAGTATCTAATAGAGTATTATTTTGTATCCCTAGGTAAGTATACTTGGTTCCCTTCACCTAAGCCAAATGATATATATTCATTTTCATGATTGTTTAAAAGCATTTGCGGCAAGTTGAAGTTGCATTGTGAGTGTGGCATTTGACCTTTCAAATGTGAAACGGAGAAATTTTATCAGAAGTATTTGCACTTTATATATTTACATGATTTTCATCATTTTATATAGTTAGTTTGGAAGATCAAGTCACATATAGAAAATGAAAATGAAATAATAAGATGACTAATTTGAATTTAATTTTCACCAATTTATAATTAGGTTGAGGTCAAATCATATGAAAAATAATTTTTTGGTCATTTGATAGATAAAATTTGAATTTTAATTTTTTAAAAGAAGAATTATAATGATCTCTCCATAAAAACAAAATGGAAGATTTGCATACATACCACTCAATTCCTTATGTATTTACATATCTAACACCTAAACTTCCATTTTTACATATTAACAACCTCACGGATAGGGGTGTAAACGAACGAACAGAGCTTGTGTTCGCGTTCGGTTCGTTTGAAATTTAATTTGTTTGTAATGAACTCGAGTTCGAAATTATTCGTGAAGTCGTTGTTCGTGTTCGTTTCTTAAAGAATGAGTCAAACACTAGTTGTTCGCGAACGACGAGTCAGTTTGACATCCCTAATATTAATATATATAAATAATATATTATATTAATTATATAACTTATATTATATAAATATATAATATCTATATCAGTATATTACTAATATAGTATACTAATATATTATTATTATTAATTTACAATCTATTATAATTTATAAAATTTAACTTTTTAAAATATCATAACTTTTAATATATAACTATTCTAAATTATTTTATATTTTGAACAATAACGATTCAAACACGAATGAACGCATCACTGTTTATGTTTGGTTCATTTAACTAACTGAACAAAAGGAATTTGTTCACGTTCGTCTCGTTTACTTATCGAACGAATCGAACACGAACTCAATGACGAACCGAACACGAACTGTTCGCGAACAACGAGCTTTTTTGACAGCCCTACTTTGGACCTCTCTGTTGAGAGGCAAATGCCCTTTGAGATATGATGATCTACCCTCCACACAATGACCTACTTTAGCCTTAAGATTTAAGATAACTCCTACTGAAATGCTGATGTTATTCATTGGTATGTCCCATCGATAGATCCTAGAACATAGGTAAAATTTTTATAATTAAGAGTGTTATAAGATAACACCTTAGATATAGTTAACCATTAAAACACGCTCCTGTAAAAATGCTAAAGAACCTAGAGCAAAAATAAATTTAAATTCACTGGTTATATATGGAGGATTACTATAGGTTATTTTCATGGATATGCTTGAGTTGTGTTGGTCTAATTCATTTGAACTTGTGTTCTTGACTCATGTTATGGAAATTGCCCTATAAAAGCTCTTCATACCATTTTTATTCATTTGTCTAATACATTTTAATTTACTTTCTCTTTCATACTTTTTTCCATCATCATCCTCACTGCAGTCTTTAGATAAAGGCAACCTGGTGACATTGAAAACAAAAAATTTGCTTGAAAAGAGGGATTATACAAATACTG